AAAACTTGGCGCTCAATTCATGCTTCATATAAGAGATCGGTACTTGCATTAAACCTCCACAAGCCAATCTATTTTTTATATCCAAAAGCTTCAGTCAGAAATCAACACACACAGCTTAAGTTTCCCACTGAAGCTACGCAAGGTCCTAAGAGAACCGATAGAATTTTCTTCTCTCTCTAATCTAATGGAGCCAGCAGAAGATTCACAGGATACAATCAATAGCGGTGACGCGTTTGGAGAAAGATCAGAATTGTCACAATCGAGTCGAAGACTTGAAGAATGGACAGACGGATCGCATCGAAGGGAAAGCGATGAAGATGTTGGTGATGATCAAAGTCGACTCTGAACAAGAGGGAGAGAATGTCGTTCTCGATGATCAAACGGCAAGAGTTGAAGGTCAAGAATCGGTAGAGGGATTGCGTCGAAGGGAAAGCAATGATGTTGTCGTGGGAGATATTAGCGAAATCAACCATGCATCGGAAGCAAGAACATCGTCCCAATTATTTTGACCAATTACACCATTTATGCTTCAACTCCATTGCTGACGCTCCCAGATTAGAAGGTATTTTAACTTTTGACTTTGACTTTTCATATTTCAATTTATAAATAGACATGATCAATAAGAAAATACTAACGCTCAAGCAATTATATGTTATACATCTCTTTATTTTGGTATTTGCTTTCATTCTTGTAACTCTTCTTCTTCCAATTCTTTTATCGTCAAGAGTTAAAGATTGATAAACTCATTAAGACTTGGTAAGCATAAGTTGCTAGTAAAAAGGCAAATACAAATTTATAAAAAGATGAGAAAATGTGGTGATTCAAACTAGAAAAAATAGTTGGTAATTTAATAAAAGTATGGGTGGCTTACCAACATGTGACTAGTATATCAAGTCACCTGTAAAAAAATTTTAGATAGCTTTATGACACCAACCAATTCTTTTAGCAATATATCATTATAATTGATTATAATGGGTGAATTAGGCCCTGCGCTAATGCGTGTGCCTGATTTGGGCTTGAAATCAATTGGACAAGCCCAAAGTTGTGATCCAAATGAAGGCAACAATTAAATCATAGCAATCGCTGCCACAGGCTGCATTGGGCAAAAATTGCTCGATAGTCACCGTTGCTCGAGTGCGTCTGCTCGAACAGCAGTGGCTAACAAAAGGTAAATGATTCAGCTTAGCCTTAGCACTAGCATACTCCATGGATAATTGTCAGTAAAATGTCACAAATCATTTATAAGGCAGCCAATTCAGTCCTAAATATTTCATTGTGCCAATTTGGTATCTAATGAAACATCCCGTTACTAAATGCATTCAAATTTTTTAACCCATGGTGCGAATGAAAAAGTACAAGCATATAATGATCTACCTCTTGACTATGACGTAAATTAGGTGACTTCTCCATTTGTTTTGCGGAAAATGAATGATTTAGAAAACGTTTTTCTATAAGTGATTGCTCGTATAACTTACGTTCCCATAGTCATCAACATCGTCGCGCACTTTTCCACGTCCGTCGTACGACGGTTGTCCTGTTTCCCCGCCGCGCTTTCTCGGCAATTGAAAATTAGGGTCTGCACAGAAGTTGGACCTCCCTTCTCTCTCTATTCTATTCGTCGACTGTCCAGTCACGCAACCACACATGGAGAGACCGTATTCGATTTCCTCATCCTCCTCGAAAGCACACCTTCCCGTGCTTCACAAGGCAAAACACATTATCAAGGTCGTCGTCTTCATCCCCAAAAGAAAACCCGACACCACAGATGCCGTCTCAGCTTGGGATTGTTCCTAGGAAATAAAGAAAGACCAAGAAAGTTCAGATGTTTATACGGTTCGTAGAAGTCTATGCACCAGTCTGGAAGATGTTGACGACGATGATGAGAAGATGACGCACGAAAGAGGAGGTTCGTCAGTCGTTTTCAGTTGATGGGCCTTCGCCCTCCATGGGTGGAGTTTCAGATCATTATCAGGACTTTGATGTCGCAAACGATTTTTCGGAAAACTTTAGTTTACGACGCTTTAATCCGATAATATTCGCGATTGTGCAAATTGTCCTATGCTTGGTCAAGTTCTTCTAGAGATTTGTCAAAGAACTAGGTCTTGGGATGAGATTTTCACTTTGATTTTTTTACGGGTATTCATGAATGTGCGAAGCGGCACTTCTTCGACTCCGAAGCGTACCGCCATGTTCTAATTGATCCCCTACCACAACGCCGGCGATAAAAAGCACCTTACGACAAATTTACACTTGCAAAACGTTACGAAAGGAACGATCAAAACCCGACTTCTTTTAATTTGTGGGGCTGTATCTAATTTTTCTATTTGAGATAAACGATACTTCTTTCTACTAGCACATGCCCCCGCAGGCCGCCACACCGTACACGCAGAGGGACAGCATGAGCGCGATGGGCCCGAGGGAGCACACCGCGACATGCCGCTTCTTCTCGAACAGCCCCAGCTGGGCGAACTCGGCGTGGAGCCGCCGGTAGTCCTTGGACACCATTCTTATCCGGAGGATCTGGTTGCATCGGCGGCCCACTTCTGTTTTTGAAAGTCGTCGATTTTGTGAGGTTCATATAAGTTTGCGGCTTTAAGGAGAGGCCCCTGTGTTTCTCTCCTCTTTTTTTCCTGCCTTCGTCGTTAATTTACAGCGAAAGCACGCGGTTTGGTTGCGAGCTCGGTGTGGGGTGGGGGTGGGGGGACCCCCAGGAAAATATCTTTGGCCTCGAAAACAATTTTTAAAATTTTGCGGACAGGGCCCCCTGACGGCGACCCTCGGAAATGGCCACGACCGAGGGAGGAAACGAGAGCAAGCGGCGACCGCCGTCGCCTCTTTGCCAAGTCTTGATGCATCGTGTGGACGTGCGGCGGAATGCACCTTGGAAGACGGTCGAAATTAAACTCGAATGAACGCCACGTGACCCCCCGAAAGGGGAAAAATTATTGTCGCCAGTTCGCCGATGTTTCTTAGCGATAACAAGTGAAAGTGTTCCCTTTTTAAGTGTAGGTGAAAATTAAATTATCTGAGCACAAAAGGCATTGTATCGACCAGAAAGGGAAGGATTATTCCCTACTTGCCTGGAAACGAAATACCATTCGAGTTCTCTCGTTCGAGCCCCGTTCTGGATTGATCGATTGGTTGATTCTTGTCTCGCGCTTCGCCGTCGAATGAGTTATGACAGAAGGTTATTTAAAATGAGGAACGCGTTATTATATTTTCTTGGGGAAAAAAATGAATAAGCGATGATAATTCTAGCACAAGTTTAGGTCACGTCGAGCGTAATTAAAATGCACTTAAGTCCTAAAATTTATTGCGAAAGTGCAATTAAGTCCAAAAACTTTCAAAAAGTGCGATCAAGTCCTAAAACTTATTAAATTTTTCCAATTAAGTCATTCCATTGATAGCATTTTTTGAAAGTTTAGGACTAGATTACACTTTTTGAAAGTTTTAGGACTCGTTTGCACTTTTGTGACAAGTTTTAGGACTTGATTGTATTTTTTGAAAGTTTTAGGACTCAATTGCACTTTCGTGATAAGTTTTAGGATTTCTAGTGCACTTATTCCTTTTAATTATATGTAGAATATTAAAATTTTCAGTTTTCTTGATTTTAAAGTAACGCTTTTCAAAAAACTTAGGCCCTCAATAATCCACTTTTCTTATACCAAATCGACACTTGCAAATTAAACCTCCACAAGCAATCTAAATCTTATATCCATGTATCTAGAGAGAAAAATTAGTTTTGGGTAAATGTGATACGAATGTACCGTTCTCATATTAAACCCATGAATTATATGTAGAATATTAATTAAATTCTTTCTAGTTTTGTTGATTTAAAAGAAACAAATAATTAACTGTTTTTCAACATGTCTCAAAAACTTGGCCCTCACATATAATACATTGGGTCTCTTGTAGAGGTGGCAAAAAGGGTTTCAACTCATATTTTTTTTTTTGGTAAGTAAATTTCAACTCATATTTAATGGCTTGTGTTGCCTAAAAATTTGGCATATGGGTAGGAGTGGGTCTAATAAACCAAAAATCAATTATTTATGGGTTCTAGTGGGTTTGTAAATAAACACACTTTCAAGACAATTAATGAAAGTATAATGCTAAGATTGTTTATCTTATACCAAATTTTGTGCGATGTCAAGCTGAGAATATTGGAATTCTTCTAGGGCATGGGTAATTTCGTAGAAACTGTCGGTTATCTATTCTTATGGAATTTTGTTTTCTATCCAAAAATAAGTTGGCCGAAATTATCGATGGCTTAGATCGCAAGTCGTGCAAGTAGGGAAGGTTTACTTTGTCTAATACCAGACATAAAGAACGTGTAATCAATCTAACAACTCGTGGTTTTGCAATGTTAAAAATCAACTTCCACAATAATGTCCGCAACTCGCACTAGCTAAAATTATATAGGCGAAAAAAGAATTTATTTATTGGCACCTTCACTCCCCATTTCATAACCCATCCAGAACTTGATCATGCATGTGCTCTTGTTCATCAGCGCGGCGCTCAACCACATCTCCATGTTGCTCGAGTACCGCGCAAAGTCCTAGCCCATGACTCAACTCGAGCATCCAAGCTTCCTCACCGACTTGGTGAGCCAGTCCATGGAATTGCTCACTCCTTAGAGCCAACAATTTAATGAGTAAATCGTTAAGAGTTGGAGCCCGGATTAGGCCGAGTATAAAGTTGGGTTCCAGATCGGGTATATGTCGCTAATGACGCCCCAGATCTCGATTGCCCTTTTGTCGTAGCGCTCTCCATGTTGCTGATTGTGCTCTGACAAGGCGGCATATTATTCCCTCGAAAGAGCCACTAAATAACAGAGAAATCGCCAAATTGACCGTTGACGTTCATCTCCTCTGCTTGGCCGTATCTCCATAGAACCATCGCGGCACCAAGCAAAAGCAACCCCTTCTCACGCGTCGGTTCACCGCTCCACCGTCTTTCATATAATCTACCGACTCTCGAAGCATCCACTTCCACTCAGACATGTTCACAATCCCGCCCAAGGTGAGACCTTCCCTCTCGAGGCACGCACCGGACTGCTGCAAGACACGAGCGCTCTCCATGGATGCCGAATCATCACCGTGCGTGACCCACCAACTCTCTATTGCCCTTTTGTCACCGAATATCAAAAGGGTCTCCTTTCTCACCCAATTGCGTTACTGATGCAGGTTCGAGAGCAGCGAGATGCTGGCGAGTTTCCTGGCGTCGACGCCCGTCTTGGAGGAGTCGTGGGGGCTGTGCAGCTTCGCGAATGCCGCCGCCCCGGGGAGCTTCGTGGCGGACCAACGCGGTGAGGTCGGGTACCTGGCGTTCTCAAGCGTCCAGGTGATCGACGGGTCCGAGCCCAGTTGCGGGACCCTGATGGCACTGGACGAGTTGGAATGCGAGCATCTGTTCTCGCTGTTGAGGTGCGACGGCGACGAGACAATCAGGGTGGACGCCGGATTCCTCCGTCTCTTCCTGGAATTTTACCGCCGACCGGATTTCCAAATCAAGGTACACAGCCCTTTTGCCTTGTCACTAGATAACTGCAAAGCGGAGACACTAGAAGGACTTGCTTGACTTTTTTCTTTTCTGGGTACTTACACTACATCTGCATCTGTCGAACATCATCAACTTCCCCGAAATTATGGTTTAGCTTTCAATCAGCCTCCTGATAACTTAATCCGTCTATGGACTTTGCATATCTTATGATTCATAGTCTTAATCGTTTGTTTGTCAGTCAAGTCCGTACCTACTATATGTGAATACGCCATTTCAAGTGCCCAAACCGTCGCAGTTTTACTTGATTTTCAAAGCAGAAAAGAACATAGATAATGGTGGTTGGAAGGAAATGTGTAAACATTTGCATGGCAGACTTAAGTGTTAAGAGTAATTCGAAAAGCGTGCGTCACTGCATTTTCTTGCCTTGCATTGCTATCAAAGTCTTCTTTTCTTCTCTTTTAACAGTGAGTTTGCGCTTGATAACAACAAGGAAAGAGTGTTGAGTTTGATAGCATGAGATTGCAATATTCCTTTTTACCAAAGTTAATCCGACCTTACCTGGAAAAGCTCACCGCAAATTTGTTCTTGACCGGGTTAAATGTTTCTGTTCTGACAAATGGTTTTTGACCCAGCAATTAAGAATGACAAAAGTTCTTTATATGGTAACTAAGCATGTTTGGTAGGGGTGATTAGAGAAGGAAAGAAGAGATTTAAATGATTATTAGAGAAAAGTAGAGAAAAGATTTGAAATAACGTCATTTGGATGCTAACAGGAAAAAAACAAAAAGAATGCATGATGAGATAAATATCTTCTTATATATCTGCAATAGATTTTATAAGGGTATGAATGAGAAGAAAATGTTTGTTTGTTGATACACGAATCCCGCAAATCCTCTTAATTTGACTGGATTTGGTAGGATTTAAAATTTACATAAAAAGGAACTTAAGTTTCTAGTCCTTAATCCTTATGTGCGAAGGTGATGTGAGGCTGCAATTAATTAAGAACTCTCGAAAATCTATTGACCATCCCTCATGCTGAAAATCCTGCTACTAATTTCTCATCCACTAGAAAGCAAAAAAGAAAATTCATTTGAGAGCAAGAGAGATGCATCAATTATGAAGGGTTTACTTCAGAAGAACCATATTGTTTTGTTGAACTTACCAGTCACAAACAGCAGGACAGTCATCCCTTACCAAAAAAAAAAAACAGCAGGACAGTCTTATTGAATTGTGCATGACTGCTGGAGACTGTTTGGAGAGATTAAGCTGGTGCAGTAGATATATTACTTCGGGCAGTTCTTGGAAAATACTAAATTACTAATCTAGGTTAATTGTGTTCTACATATATCATGTTCCTGGGCCATGTGATGAAAATCTAGATGTAGTCTTTCTACAGAGCCGTTATTGTTTCGTATTTTGTAGCGGTAAACTGTTGATATTGTCAGCACAGTCCTGTTTTTTTTTTTTGGGAAGTCATTGACATTAGTCATACCAGCATATTTGAACTAATCAGAAATTGCCGTTGCGTCATGCATGTATTAAGTTTTCCTCAACTCTTGCTCTCGTTCTGAGAGAAAAAAACGTGAAATCATTCGAGCATTGAGCTGCTTTTTGTGTACAGATTTGGGAATTACTGGGAAAATTCAAGATGCTTATCGTCACAGGCCATTCCTTTGGAGCAACAACCGCCTCTCTCACTGCTCTTTGGCTCCTCTCCTATCTCCAGCCCATCGCTTCTCCCATCTCAGTCCTCTGCCTCACCTTCGGCACTCCTTTGCTCGGCAACAAGTACCTTTCCCAAGCCATTCTCCGAGAAAGATGGGGCGGGAGCTTCTGTAACGTTGTCTCGAAGCTCGATGTAGTGCCGAAACTGTTCTTCGCTCCACTAGCCTCATTGACTCCTCAACTGCACTTGCTGCTTCAGTTTTGGCAAGTCACTATGGCTTCACCCAGTTTAGAACAGCATGTTGGAGAACTGCGAAAACAAAATTTCTATGAATTCTTCAGCAATGTCAAGGGTTTTGTTAAATATGCCGAACAATCAGGAGGGGCAAAGAACAGTTTGTTTTGGCCATTGGGAAGCTACCTATTCTGTTCAGAAGAGGGAGCAATCTGTCTGGATAATGCAACCTCTGTTGTTAAGATTATGCGTTTGATGCTCGAGACAGTCTCTCCAGCTTCCAGTTTTGAGGATCATCTGAAGTGTTTTGAGGATCATCTGAAGTATAGTTATTATACAGGACTACTTTCTTCGCAATTCCTGAAAAGGACAAACATCAACGGCCTCTCCACATCAAGCTACGAAGCTGGTGTCTCCTTGGCATTACAATCCTCAGGAATAGATCCGCAGGTAATTAAATGCTTCTCAAATCCACACGAGACACTGTCTTCTTGGCTTCCTAATCCAACTCAAAAGTATAGTCTATCAATGCCCTTATTTTGTGGAAGGATTTTCTTGGAACAACCACTCTCTAATACGTGGGGCAGAACTCTCTCCCACTCTCTAATACGAGTGCACCCAGAATGATGTGAACTTATACTAAGATCTCTTTTTGGTAATTGCTGAATGATAAGTTCTTAGTCTTCACTTTGTGGGTTGTATCTTTAATCACTGTGCAGGATGACAATATTTTAAGACCAGCTAAAGATTGCCTGCAGATGGCTCGGCGCATGGGATGTGCACCGAACCTGAACAATGCTCATCTAGCTATCAGACTATCTAAGATAATGCCCTGCGCGGCACAACTTGAGTGGTACAAGGTACGCTGTGACGAGTCCGGGGATCAACTTGGGTATTACGACACATTCAAGAAATTTGGAGCATCCAGGAGAGAGTTCAAAATCGACATGAACCTGTTCACACTCGCCGCATTCTGGGATGATGTCATACGCATGGCAGAACGGAATGAACTCTCGCACGATTTCCACCGCATATCCTATTGGATCAATGCGTCCCATTTCTATAAGCTCCTTGCCGAGCCATTTGAAATCGCTCGCTATTACCGTCTTGGTAAGCACCTGGTGCAGGGACATTACATTAAGCATGGAAGGGATAGGAGATTCCAGATTTTTGACAGATGGTGGAATCAAATGATTGCTGGTGCGGGCCTGGAACCACGACTATTTCAGAACAAAAGGAGTAGGAGCAGGGATGCAAGCTTGACTCAAGATTCTTTGTTTTGGGCGAAGGTGGAGGAAGCAAAGGACTGGCTCGAGAATGCGAATAAGGAAAGGTACTCCAATAAGTTGGAACCGCTTTTGTTGAACATGAAAGATTTTGAGAAGTACGCGGAGGAGCTAATTGAGAGGAAGGACGTGTCTAAAGATGTTCTGGCTATGAACTCAAGTTACAGATTATGGGCTGAGCAATGGAAAGCTTTGAAGTCGAAGCTCCCGCAGCCACTTGATCCTGCTCTGAGTGGAATGAATTGTGATTGAAGAAAAATCAATACATTCATCATTGTTTATGCGAGATTTCATCTCTGGTGTAATTGTAATGCAGACAATACTTCTTGTAGACGAACCTGTAGCACTTGTTGAAGACATCTTCAGGTACTTCAGTTTGGACACAACAATGTACTTTAAATAGAGCATATTTACTTGTCAGTATCATCAAGTGATTATTGTATATAACACTTAACTCTTCCAATACATATGCTAATAAAGTGAGTTAGCATTTAATTAATTGAGATTAGGGTGTAACTATACCTGATAAAGTTGGAAATGATCAAACTACGTGGAAAGAAGTCGGGCAAGAGGAAGAGAACACTCAGGATCATGATGGTGATTGCAGGACGACAATGATTCACGATGAAGAATTGATGGCGAGATCTCACAGATGGTGAGATCTCACGGACAGAGAAGGGAGGACGACATTTTCCCAGTAGATAGCACCGATATGAGTTTAAGGGAGTGGCCATTACTTGGGTCTAATCGCAGAATGAGAGGTCGGCGGAGGAGGTCATAACAGGAAGCCATGAACTTCTTAGCAACGGTGCAGTATTTTCCTTGGACTCTGTCCCAAAAAGCGCGAGGATTAGATTTTTCTTGAGCTTTCTTTGGTTTAGGGTTGTGTCAGGCACTTCATTGATTAGTTATCTCTGTGTATAAGCAGTTGTGTGAAATTGGTTTTCATGGAATTATCACTTTCAGTTCGTGAGTCACGTCTTGGCAAGAACCAAACGAGTGAGGATGAGTTTTCTTGTTTCCTGATCTTTTTCCTCTCAAAATGAAATATCGGTGTGATAAAATCAGAGTCAATTTCAGTCTACCGAGTAGATTCCTCGAAGATAGGGGCAACAAATGAACACACTCTTAAGAAAATTATAACATCATAATGTCTTTAATTAACACGATAAAAAAGTCAAAGCCGAACGCGTTAAGGATTCTACATGTATGAGGCTCATATCTTTAGGAGTTCGATTCATTAACGTTTTGTGTTCTAATTGATGCTATCCAATCACTCTTAACAATTGAACTTCTGACCTCTAGAATTGGTATAGCTTGTTGGGGGCAGCGTGGCATTTCCAACCCCGCTTCTTTTTTCTCTCTTTCAATCTTTAGAAACTATCATGGTCGAAGCATGAGGAGCAAAAAGCACACTCCATATATCAAGAGACGTATCGGGCGAGAAATCACAAACATCCCCGTTGTGTATGCATTCGTCAAGTCTCTCCTTTTTCTCCATCGCAGCCGGATCGTAGCTACCATTTGGCTTTTGCGCATCGAAACAAGTCCGTCTCTTTAATTTTGTCTAAGGCAAAGACATGATAAACAAATTTTCCCCCATCTCTTGGGCATGAATGAGGGAGAGACGAAGGATGTGTTTTGGAGCTATCGAAATCGTTAAAATTTTGCTGGGGTCGACTCTATCGAATGATCCAAATGGAGAGAGAGAGAGAGAGAGAGAGAGAGAGAGAGAGAGAGAGCTTGTGTCAGCATGAATGGCAAAAAGTAAGGGGTGTTGACCGTGAGGGCGACTGGCGCCTAGTGGATCAAGAAAGGCGGAAGGAAACCGGAAACAGCCCTTTGGTTTTGGCCAAACCAAAGGTAGTTTTCCAAGTCTGCGACATTTGGGTGCGTGAGTGAGTGATGATTGAATTTAGGGGAAAGACCAAAAAGGTTGAGATCTTGAGTAGATCACTCTCTCTCTCTAGTTTTCCCAACACAAAAGGCCTTCTACTTCAAAGCTATGATGGTCATAGGAGGAAATTGTCCAATAAGTTCTTCCAAGCGATCTCCGACAAAAATTTATCGGAATGACTAAATTGAATTTTTACGCAAAGTTCAAGGATTAAATTGGCAAAATTAAAAAGTTTAGGGCTGAATTGACATTCATACAATAAATTTATGATTGATTGGGCAATTCTCCTATGACCATTAGATAGGCAAAGACCAAAAACAAAAAGGGAGAAGAGGCACACAACCTTAATTAGATAACTCCAAAGCATGTTGAATGATGATAGTGCATTTGTGTGCTTCTTTCATGGGGGACCACAAAGCCCAAAGAGGTTGATGCGAGTAAAGTGACCACCAAAGTGAAGTGATGCTTTACATTAAATTGCCCCAGGTAAACAGAATGTCTTTAATTCGATAAGTACAAAATATTATATTAAGTATAATACAAATCGAAGTAGTGTATTCTTCACAAAACAACAATATCTAGTTAGTTTATTTTAAAGAATAAAAAAATAATTAAACCAAAAAAGGATAACTCCATAGTTTTAGAACCGCGCTTTTTCCACTCCTAATTTGGCTAAAACACTCCCCAATAAACTATTTTGACCATATTATCCATTCTGGGTCCCATCTTTCAGCATCCTCTGCATTCTCTTAGTGTCCTTTTTCTTGGAATCTTTTTTTGCAGGTCCCACTTTCATTTATCTTCACCCTTCTTTGTATCTCTTTAATGTTTGAGATGGTTTTTGCGTAGTTTTTTCACAATGGGTGCTAGATAAATTGATTAAATTCGAAGTGTTGGTTAATGTTGAGTAATGTGATAATTTTCCTTGTGATGGGTTCAGATTAATAAAGACTGAAGGTTTTTTTTCTTCTTTTTCTTCTTTGGTCTCTTGCTTTTTATGTCTAGGAAAAGTAGTTATTGATTCATTCTTCATTTACTATTGAATCTGATTAAAGATTAAAGACGATCTTTAGCGAGGCCTTTTGGCATTGCTGAGCTTCTCTCACTCCGGGGATTCTATTAGTTGAAGTCTTTGAAATTTAATGGGGAAGAGTGGAAAGAGAAAAGTAGGTCTTTTCCAATCCTAAAATGTTTTGCTTTTCACCAAGTGAAAAAAGGTTTATCATCCCATTAACTTCTAACGATTGAACCTAGTGATTTCTTTGATCCTGTGCGGATAGAGCATGCATTTGAATTTTTGAGTGAATTTTGAGTATTCACTACAAAAAAACAAGAGTTTTCCAACGAATTTTCCAACGAAAAATTTGGCAAAATTCGTTGGAAAACGAATTTCCAACGAAATTAGCGACGAAAAAAAATTCGTTAGTAATTCGTCGTCGCAAATTTTTGCAACAAAATATTTAAATTTTCGTTGGTAATTTGCAAAATTAGTTGGAAAGTTCATTGGGAAGTTCGTTGGAAGTTCGTTGGAAAATTCTTTGGTAATTATTCGTTGCAAAAATCGTGGTAAAATTCGTTGGTAATTATTCGTGGTAAAACGAATTTCCGACGAAAAAAAATTCGTCGGTAATTCGGCGTTGGAAATTTTTGCGACAAAAAATTTTAATTTTTCGTTGGTAAATTCCGACGCAAAAAAATTCGTTGCAAAATTCGTAGATAAATTCGTGGCTAAATTTGTTGGAAAATTCGTTGCTAATTCTTCGTTGGAAACGTCATGGCAATAGTTGTTGGTAATTTCCAACGAAATTAGCGACGAACAAAAAATTTCCAAAGAAATTAGCAACGAAAAAAAAATTTGAATTTTCGTTGGTAATTTGCGACGAAAATTAATTCGTGGCTAAATTCGTGGCAAAGTTCGTTGCAAAATTTCGTGGACAAATTCGTCGCTAATAATTCGTTAGAAAAATTCGTTGCAAATTATTCGTTGCAAAAATCGTTGGAAATCCTCAAATTTTTCCAACAAAAAATTGCAATTTTCGTTGGTAATTTCCGACGAAAACAAAATTCGTGGGAAATCGCGAATTTTTCCGACAAAAAATTGCAATTTTCATTGGTAATTTCCGACGAAAACAAAATTCGTGGGAAATCGCGAATTTTTCCTACAAAAAATTGCAATTTTTGTTGGTAATTTCCGACGAAAACTAAATTCGTGGGTAAATTCGTTGGAAAAATCATATATAAATTCGTCCTTGATTATTCGTTGCAAAAATTGTGGGAAATCGCGAATTTTTCCGACAAAAAATTACAATTTTCGTTGGTAATTTCCGACGAAAAAAAAATTCATGGGAAATGGCGAATTTTTCCTACAAAAAATTACAATTTTCGTTGGTAATTTCCGACGAAAACTAAATTCGTTGGAAAATTCGTTGCAAAATTTGGCTTTAATTATTCGTTGCAAAAATCGTTGGAAATTCGATTTTTTTTCCGACAAAAAACTTCAATTTTCGTTGGTAATTTCCGACGAAAAAAAAATTCGTGGGAAAATTCGTTGCAAAATTTGGCGCTAATTATTCGTTGCAAAAATCGTTGGAAATTCGATTTTTTTCCGACAAAAAATTTCAATTTTTGTTGGTAATTTCCGACGAAAATAAAATCCGTGGGAAAGTTCGTTGCAAAATGTGTTGCTAATTATTTGTTGCAAAAATCGTGAGAAATCGTGAATTTTTTCGACAAAAAATTTCAATTTTCGTTGGTAATTTCCAACGAAATCTATTCGTGACAAAATTCATCGCTAAGTTTGCGACGAATTTTGTTTAGCGACAATTTCGATTTTAAATCTAATTATTAATAATATTAAATTTTTTTTTTGGTAAGAAAGCAATATTAATTTCTACAATGCATAAGTTGCAAAGTCTCACATGATAATATTCGATATTCAATCTCATAATACAAAGAGGCAGCTAAGCACTAATGAACATCAGGTGATACATTCAAAACATTGAAAGAACGCGGGACAACCATAAAACGTTGACAGCTTTGGTACTCGAAAATGAACTAGGAAGGACTGACAATAAAATCATCAGCATCATCATCATCATCACCAATCACCGCATCATTGTATGGTTCAGCATTATGCCCATCATCAATTGGATTAATATGAGGTAGAGGAGGAACCTCATTGCGATCGATGTCTAGATGTCGCATGACAATTTGCATTTGTTGTTGCATCACCCTTATTTGTTCGTCCTTCTATCCAAGTAAATGCTTCATTTCTTCATCCTTCTGTACAAGCAACTGTTTCAGTTAGCTCAATTCTTGGGTTATATGCTCCTCATGTCGTGTCCTCCTTGAAACAGCCACATTGGAGGATGAAGCCTTCGTTTTGTACATCCTTGACAAGGATCCCATCCCAAATATTTTTTCACCTTTCATCCCACCCGCTGCCTCCACCCATAATGCCATACTATCAACCGATGGCTTAGACATGGCAACACCATCACCACCACCACCACCATCATCACCACCACCATCACCACTAGCAGTGCTCATTAAAAGTTCATCATATTT